CATCATTAACAGTAATGGTCTCTTTATAGATAAACTTTTTGGAGGGTATCTAGATCCACATGTTGTCTATTGTCTTCCATGTACAAATTAACACATGCTTTGACTACTACAACTACTACACTAGTACATGTAGTATTTTGCAGATGCATGTACATGTATTGAGCCACTCAACTACACCACCCAACAGATTGAACTTTCCTATGGTAAGCAACTCGTACATTTATTCATCAGACCATCATCTTTCTAATCATCCGGGTTCAGGGGTTCTTATGTTATGGATTACTGGGTGACAAACTTTTATTTGAAATAGATCTTAACAATGGATCCATGATATGAGTTAGTACATTCACAAGGCCCAGTCTATGTATACATGTATATCAAATTGCACGAGAATACTTTGACCTGGCTCCACAAAAAAATAAAAAAAAGATGGATATATGGAAGATGACATGTATTGTGATCATGTTGATTGTTCTAGTTAGATTATGTATGTCATGTCATGACACAAACAGTTGTTTTAATTATCACAATTTGGAAATGGATATGAACAAACGTGTACATTTAATCAATTTACCGTAGTACAAAGGGTAAAGGCAGTTGACTCAGGCGTGTGGCAGATAGGGCTTTGAAAAATCTAATATGCATGCTCGTCTTAGTTTTCATAATTGTTAATTGCTCCCTTTTTTGTATGTATGTAATACACATGACGATACATAATTAGATGCCATCTACTGATTAACCCTGATCCAAAAATTATATACTATACAATTCTAGGTCTATTGCATGGCTCCAAGATGGCTGTATGATACAAGTGTCTTTGAGCTCATGTCAAGCACGCATGTCTTTGGCGAGATTAAGAATATAATCCATAAATTTTTATTTATAGTTCAAAATGCATGTTTATCAGCGTTTCCTCTAAGCATTATTTTCATGCAATTTTCTCTATAACTAGTTTTTGAACAATTTCTACTGAATACACCTTGTTATAAAACATTGTATGTTCATCTGATCAAAATTTATTTATTTCAATAACTCAATAATTACTGTGCAGTGTGATCAACTGTTTTTGTGGATTAGTAATACTATGGTCAAAGATATGACACCCCTTTGACAGGTTGATAAACGTGCAACCCCAACAGATACATCACAGTTGTATCTAGATTTTACAGATTTTTGACCCCCCCTCCTCTCCAAAAGAAAAAAAACACATTTAAATTGGGAAAGTGATACTATAAAATATTCTTATTTTCAAGTTATATAACATAATTTCTATGATTTTAAAATAAGGTTTGTGGACCACACAGTGGCCTTTGATTGTGCAGTATGATTACATAGATCATTAATGGTATAATCCTTATTGGTTCATGAGGGGTTAGTGATAGTGGATATAATTTATGACCCAAGCTCGTAATACAGCTCCATCATGACCAGTTGTGTCTGAAGTTTTCAGAGGTTAATCCTCTTATACAGCAATGAGCAAAAATGTTTGCTGCCAGCAAGTTACCTAAATAAAACTGAAATAACTACAATTTTGTACTATTGATATACATTTACATAAATGTAATCGAGGAAAAATAACAATATACTAAAACTTAGCCCTAAGATCAGAAATAACAAATGTCAATGTAAACTGCAAGTTTCAGAGTACTGATGCAAAACTGAATGTTATTAAACTGATTAAAAAAAATAAAATACAAAGAGATGTAATATTATTCGACAGACAACAGGTGATAGGAATAATGTAGGTCAAAATATTATCATTAGTTATAATCAGACAACCAATCAATTGTGGTTTTAATAACACATGATGCTTTGTTGCATCTGTGCTGACAAGTTTCTAGTTTTCTCTTCAGTGCTTTATCTTATGAACACTAGAGAAGCTTTACAGGGCAAGGAAAGATGTAGGCAGAACTCTACAGGGAATGGAAAATGGTAAACAGAGCTCTATGGGGGAATGGAAAGGGGTAAACAGAGCTGGAATGGGAATGGAAAGGGGTAGGCAGAGTTCGACATGGAATGGGAAGGGGTGGGCAAATGGAAAGGTGTAATCAGCTCAACAAATGCTTGCATAACTAAACTATGTGTTAACATTCATTCACAGTCTAGTTATGACAGATACAGGTACAGCACCAAGCAGCTTCTCCTGCCTTGAGCACACAATAGTGTCATATAATATTTGAATGTACAACAAACCTGCTTATTTTGAACCAGAAATTGATGAAACAGCCTGACAGCTGGCATTGTTGCTTTTCTATTTGTATCACAGACTTATTTTAGTATGGTGCTAACTAAACAATAAATCATGAGTTAAAAATTGCGCAACCTTATAGTTCATTTACAGAGACAGTGGGTAAAGGTTGGCAAATTGTACAACACATAGCCACATATTGTTTTTTCAAATATTTTGTGTCAGGCGACAATATCGGACATTGCATGTCCCTGTTGTATCTACTGACTTTATTTTGGATGCAATAGCAAATGCTGACATATACTTGTAGTGCATTTTGCCACAGAATCCATATGTTTGGGAATAAATATGCATATTAGCTCTCCGGTGATAGGGAGAGAGTCCTTATGTTAGCGATTATATTCCCCAAAGATGGATATAATTTTTAGCACCTCTTTAAATTTCAACAGACTTTCTTAAATTTGACATTCTGAACTCGCATTACAAACGTACATGAACTTTTTGAAAAAATAAATGAACATGACGCAACAACCACTAGGCTACCATTGTTTTATTTGCCATTTCCATGTAGACTATCACCCTGTTCAATAACCAGGAATGACAATCAATTCTAATTCATGTTCACAAGACAAGTATTGTCTGATTTGAAGATAGCATAGACTTGCATACAGTCTCTTGCAACTCTAGAGATAGCATACTATGGCCATAATGTAACATTCTCTAATGAGTAGATTGTGTCATTATAACGCAAACTTTTGGAGTTTTGATGAAACTACATTGTACTTTCTTAATAAACTTTTACGAATGAATCATTGTTAGTATATATTTTCTTAAGGTCCTGGCAATTTTTAGGGGCGCTGTTTTCTGATAACAGCAATAATTTGAATATTACACGAGTGATGGAGATAAAAGGTGGAACTCTGTCACAACACCTGTTTATTCAAAGTCAATAGCATTTCTAACACAATAAATCAACCTGTTATGTGCTATTCCCTTAGTGAAACCAATAATCAGAATTTTTTCTCAATTTTTGTCATGTTAAACTTCTTGCATTTTTTTAAAACATTTTAATCACGAAATTCTCAATTACAGAGCCCCATAATTATTCCATCCATTAATAGAAACAAACATCTCAGAACAGTTGTATTATTGGGGGAAAAATAGGTGGACATTGTAATACAGAAACCAAAGTTAGCTACGGCATTCCGATTCTTTGCAAAAATACTATCCAGATTTGTATTTTTCTTGACTGCCATCATGTTTTGAAGGAGGACACTATGTTAACAGAATAATAATAATAATAATAATCATGTTTTACTGCATCTTTAGAAATTTCAGTATGCAGCAATAAAGTGTTAAGATATAGTTTAAAAATAAAAAAAACAATCACTCTCTCCCAATGGAAAACATTTTATATAAATATTCTTTGTCTTAACAGATGATTTTTGAACTTTATATTGTTAATTGAATTAATTTTTAAATTTTATATTGTTAAATATAATATGACTGAAGAATGGATCATCACAACAAATCATAATTTTTTTATGCTACAGAAGAGAAAGAGTGATACTATAATGATGTTAGTTCTTGAAATTGCAGGTGATATAATTAAGGTAGAGTTACACAAAGATCATAAGCTATGGCTACTTTATTAATAGAGCAATATTCACATACCTTCCTACTTACTTACTATGTGACTAGCAAAATAATATGGCACTGTTATGTAAATAAATACACTTTCTGGGCAGGGAGCTAATCCTTCTATTGTTCATGTATAGGCAAAACACACCATGGGAGTCCATGCACAGTCCAGTTAAAAATTATATAAAAAAAAAAGATGCAGGAACAAAGATTTTTAAATCTGTTTATATTAAAATCATATTTACGGAAAACTAAGGGTTGAAAAAATAAATTGCCAGCAAGGTGTTGCAGAGAAAACATGTTGACACATTCAAGAAAAAAAGAATGTTCTGACAAAAAAAAAAGGAAAATTGCAATGATTATGCTTTTCCAACCTCCCCCATGATTTTAAATATTTGACTCTTAATACGGTTATAGTTCATGATGTATTTTTATTTTTTATTTCGTTAACGCGATAGCATTAGTGAAAAAAAAGGGTAGGCCAGTTCAGTGTATGCATGGTCATACTTACATGGTTTATCACGTACACATGACATGTAGATAAATATTGGAGTCACAACATTCTGTATCTTATCGCAGAACTAACAGTCATCAGGTAAAAGGTCACCCACTTAACAAGCCAATGAGATCTGTTATGAGGCGACACACCCCCAACAAGCCCATAACTCACCGAAACCAAAAAATAAATTATTATAGGCAACATGCGCGCGTTTACGCAAATGATGAAATTCCACACACGAATATGTAAATAATATACATAGATGGAACGGTGCATTTTTAGGGTTAAATTCAACTCGATCGGCGAAGAACGATCCAGAGTCAGCCTACAGGTTATTTTAGTTTTCAGTGTGTTGGATAAGGTTTAACGTTGCGCAGCCAAAGCGTCGCAGAAAAATACGAGACAAAACTAATACAGTCCCTGCTTACTGAGCGTGGCACAACTTGGACCCGTTACTATGCTTGGTGCAAATATCAAGAGCCCCGGGCAACCGACCGTCCCAGACATACTGGTAGTGGTACTAGTACTTGTCTTGGCACCGGGATAAGTTCATTTAATTTGCGTGGAAAATATCACAGAGTAATACAAATAATGCTAAAATATTCCTATTGCACAATTTGAACAAATATTGCACTAATTCTTATGGAATAGATAACAAATTGTAACACAAACCTGTTTAACTGGTTTAACAAGTCGATAGGGCAGTCGGATGACAGCAGCCATTTTGAATATAAATGTACACAAGAGCATCATGGGAATAATAAAGTTGGCGCGAAATTATCAGCCACTTTTTTTGTGTAAAAATCGTTCGACGGCGAAAAGTTCGTTCGTAATGTTGCTTATTAGAGAAAGTAATTAAATACTATGTGCCTTATAGTTTCATGGTAGTCAAACGATGTTGTAAATAAGTTTGCAGGAGTAATGCATTGTATACAGAAAATATTCAAGATGGCTGCCTAAATTGTATGTGCCATTATTGTTAGCAGTGGAAATGATAATAGCATTTCTTTTTCTTTGATTAATTGTACATCGCAGTGAAGGGCATGTCACACTGTCTTAGCTGAACTATCGAAACGTTCGACTGTGGCAGTATTGGTGAATGACAAGTGTGAATTCGCTTGAAAAGAGGTGAAAATACGGCGTGGGCTCGAGAGGAAATAGTTGAAACTACGGGAGATCGAAACAAAAGGTATTGTTTAGGCTATTGTTCATTGCTTTTGTTGTAGCTTAGACGTACTTATATGTTTTCAATTGAATCATTTCATCGAGGGCAAAGCAGGGAAATTAACTGTGCTGCCTGGCACAGCTAAATCTGCTATCATTCACCGAAATTTCACCGGTAAGTCGGACTACAATATCTATGATGGAGTAGCTACTATAAACCAAGTTATGTGGTTTATGCATAGGAATGTAAGAATGGATTTTAAGACCTTAATATCGACCTTTTTGCTTGTCTATGCGGAAAGGCGGGCCTCATACCGCGTGACCTGATAAATGGGGACGAGGGCTCCAATATTTGCTGCCGGTGACAGTGCACCTTTTCCGACTGGAAACCGTAATTCGACCGACAAGTCGCGTTTTATTGTGAATGAAGCGGCGTACGTACTTGCGTCCAGTTTTCGCATATCCCATCGACACTAAACATCACTTATCCGCTTCGTGGAAAGCCCTGGCCTCATCGATTTGAATCAAAGCAGAGCCGTGCCACTGTTCGTTTCAACATTGTTCACCATCAGTAATTTTGTCGTTGAATGACATTTGTTATAGACTCGATCAGTGTTCGGGTTAACATTTTACCAAGTCTTGAAGTGCTCTGGGTACGCGAATAGCCATGGCCCCAATTGTCACATGTTATTTTAGTGTTGTATACACATTTGTATCTTGACATAACTGTTTTAGACCTTGTTTATTGATTATATAATACAATAATGCATTTAGTGTTCTTTCAACAAATAAAAACATGTTTTCTTTTGTCAATGTTGAACAGAAACACAGGCCTGTTTTTATACTCGCCACGTGGTGCTTTAGTTTAATTTTTAACTTTTGTATGTTTGTTTTTCTGCTGAAAGCTGAAATAAGCTACTTCTTTCAGGAATAAATTGCACTGGAATATTTTATTGTGTTTATTACAAATTATCTTTTACTTGATCGTAAATTTTTACAAAAACCTTTTCAATATAAATCTTAGTCTAAAGTAAGTTAAATTTCCACATACAAAATAAAAAAATCAGTGGCAAACAAATTTGAGTATTTTAATTGTTTCCAACTACAATGTATTTTTATAATTTTTATATGTAACAACAAAATTAAATAAAAGGGTAGCAGTTTGAATAGCTGTTCTTGAATGGTGATAATTTTTTTTATTACTTATGGCCACAACTATGGTAAAAAAAATCTGACCATGGTAATGTTGAAAAATAGCTAATCATAGACTTTTCATGCATGAACAGACATGATTACTTACAATATCAACATATTTTTACTAAACACTTCCTGGTCCAAATTGCTGATACAGCCCACTGAGTTGTTTCATTTCATTTGTAGGCCCCGGGCTAAACAGAGGTTGGGCGTGTTTTGTACTTAGTCTTTCTTTCAAAGTGCCCCTGGGGGGTTAGTGAAGAGGGGGGGTCCCTAAGGTGATTTAAATACTTTTACACTGGCCCAAAGAGAATATTGAAATATTGAGAGTAGGCTATGACTTGCATACATAATTACGATAGACAATATTCTCAACAACAAAGGTGGCCAGCTGAGCCTATTTCTTATTTGTTAAGTGAAATTTACAGTGTCGGACATGCTAGAAAAAAATTGTGTTTCTCCAAAAATGAATTTCACACCTCCTTCTATTTTCGTGTGATGTTCAATAAGAAAAAAACACTTGATTAGTATCAGATTTTTAAATTCAACAGATTCTCTAAGATTATATCGTTATCAATTTGTATCAAATTGTTGTCCCGCTTAGACTTACTTCTCTCTAAGTTGTCAAATAATCTATATAATCTGGTTTGCAGGTTTAACAGAAAATGAGTTCCAAGGACATGTAAATTTCCAAATACGTAATTTCAAAACATATTAAGAGATATAGGTGTTTTTAAATTAGACTAGTTGATCACATTTTATCAAAATGGTTCCGTGCAATGACTACTAATTAATGCCTAAATTGATTAATTGATCCATTGTCATGGTAAAATCCACTTTTTTTTATTACTGAACTACTTAGAAGTGGGCCCCTAATATACATTTGTGTAATGCCCCAGGGAACGTTCTGCATTCCGCTACTGAAACCTGTTTTTTTTTCTCTCTCTCCACGCCACAGAGAAAGGATGATGTTGCGTCATAGTACGTATGTGTTTTGGGATTTCTTAGAATGCACTAACAAAACACCTAGGGATTATACTGATTATGTAATTGCTGAGTGTATCATGAAATTGATTGTATAAAAGCGCTTCAACTCAACAGTGATGCTATCATGAGAAAAAAGCTCTCTAGTCTGTATTGTTAGCTCTACTGTCTGTCAGTACATTCAAAACCTAGAACACCTTTGCTGCGTAATTTTGATCTAGATTTCGTAATACGATTACAAAAATGGAAGGCCTGTGCTTGAGTAATGGATTTTCCAGGCACCTATTCTGGAATCTGTCATTCAGGACGTGTATAACTGACTTAGACAACAAGGTTTTTCAAGGTTTCTGTCAGGCTGGACTTAGTTTTAGTTTATTGAAAGCAACAATTTGCGAGTAAATAAGTTTGCTACTGTACTGATTAGTTGATGAAAAAACTTAAAATAATATTGCACTGCCTCATTGTAGGAAATCTCTTCTCAGTGATCCATGTGTGTATCAGGATGTGCATAAAAATATTTCACCCATAATCTTAGGTTCCTTTATTTTTCACTTACATGTAATTACATGAGAATTGTTTGAAGTGATGGAGAATATGTTAACTTTGTTGTTTTGTCACTTCCTTAACCATTCCTAAAGTCACCAAATCTGTGTTAAGTATGCTCATATCATGTCTCCGATTAAATATGAAACAAATATTTTTTTAGGATTTAAGATTGCATTGGAAAACAACTGCTAATCTAAACAGATAGGGATGTATTCAAAGATCACTCCAGATGATCCCAATTGTTCGAGTACACTCCAAATTCCTTTGGCTTTCAAAATCTATTTTATTTTTACTGATAGATGACCTTAAGTTGCACATATAATGCAAATAAATGTCGGGGTTTATCTGTGTAACCATTTCAAGCATATACCCCTTCTCCCACCCATAACAAAAGGAAATCGTAATCCCTTCTTCAGAGTACTTGTCACAATGTAGGTAGATAATTCCAAAGTGTTCAGTCATACTTAATGCTAAACTTACTGGTAGTGATTTATATTTAGTTTTCTATCAAGATCTTTACCTAACATTTCAGCTGACATGTGGGATGGGGACATTTTTTTGAAGTGACATAATTCCGGTATTCTGAGTAACAATTATATCAGTGTACCCAGGGCTAAGTGTTTTCTAAGAAATCACATTTAAACATGTGTGTTTGCTGCATCCAATGCATGCCATCCATGTGTTTATGCTAATCTGTCAGTACAGTCATTATACCAATATATTTCAGTCTACATGGTGAATACTAACAGCATACCAAAACAATTCCCCTTTGTTGAAGCCCAAACCTGGTAACATGTATTCTTTGGAAAAAGTATTCCAGGCTTGCTTGCTGTTGGTTATTGTCAAGCAAGAAACTTTATGTAAAACCAGACTGAATTAATAATGCAACTTTATGGACCACAGGTTTGAAGTGTTCTCCCCTGCTTTGGTAGTCAGTGTCAATATGAATCAGAATCTAATCACAATGAACATGATTAGCATATCAATAACATGGTCATACTGCCCTGCTTAAAATTCTATAAGGGGGAAGTATAAGAGAAACTATGATGAGGAGGTGGACTTTGTCATGTGATAATGAGTCATAATCTTGGAGAATATAACCGGAAACACTGTAGAAAGTTCACTTGTAGTACAATAAATACAGTATATGTATTTAAATTGTAAATAAACATTCAACAGTGACTGGCTTTTTTCTCATAATACCACTTTTATAAAATTTGCACACTTTTGTATAATAATATTTTATTTTTCTGTAATTTCTTGGTTGATTTTAAACCAAATTTACAAAATTACCTTTTTAAAATGTTTGTGGAAACAGTTTATGCTGGTTTATTTTGTATAAGGTGACACAAGTCAACGTTCAAAAGATCAAACTCAAAGGGTTAAACCCCCATTCTGGCTATAGTCATGTGCAGGTTACACCAAGTACAGGTTAAGATTTAAGCTAGTCTTGTATGTTTGCATATTGGCTAGACCCACTTGGTTATGGAATGCCCAAACTTGTATACCTGGTGATAGACCTAAAATAATCACTATTACCATAAAATACTTTATTTTCGCTTAAAACACCCAAAAAGTCTATTCAGCGAAAATTAATTTTAGCTAAAATAAAGTATTTTACAGTATGTATTGTAAATATGATATCTGTTTATAAGCAGGCTTTCTGTATTTACTGATGCATTGTCACTTGAAAAGACAGTTAATTTGAATAGCTACACCTTCATAATTCTGTCCACATCGCTCCACGAATGGCTTTACGGTAAATTCTTGAGTTTCTGATGAACTGTAGAAGAGAAACCAAAGTTTTACTCGTCATGGCCCAAATGATGAGTAAA